TCCCTACCTCAAAGAGAGAAGACGAGCCAAGTAAGAGCGAAACTCCAAGAACATCGAAACCCGCTTATATTTAGATCAAAATGAAGATATTGAGACGCTTTACCTTTTTCTCAAAGGCACCAAGGTGATGAGATCAACGGATCTAGATGAAACAAAAGAGAGAAAGTGAGTTTTAAAGAGAGAAAATCAAGATTTAGCTTTTCGAAAAGTTTTAGAGAGAGAGAGAGAGAAATGAAAATGTGAACAAGAACATCATCTTCACAGATTGTTATATACGCAGTTCACTTGAGCGTGGAAAGCGAAGCTCGAGCGTTAGACACAATGCTTCACTCCAACGTGAAAAGTGGCGCTCGAGTGTAGGATACGCACTTCCATAAGTTTTGCAAACGAAAGACCCCGTTCGAGCACGAGATTGGACGCTCGAGCGTCCAATGCACTTTCCCAGTATTTATAGACTTGCAAAAAAATACAGAGAGTTGACAAATCCTGCTCGAGTGCAATAATGGGCGCTCGAGCGGAGAAGCAAAATTTGTAAAGCTCGCTCGAGCGGAAGAGCCAAAATTTGGGCAACAAAGGTTTGGAAAAACAAGCAATCAACCTATTCCAAACGCACAACTACAACCCGATAACCAAGATAAGGGAAAGACAAGGGAAACATGATATGAATAACCATTCAAAACCATACCAACCCGAGTTCGGAATACATTAAGTGATGGGTCAAAACTGGAATCGCTATAATTGATGAGACTTTTCAATCCCCTCTCTACCCTCATTCTTCTGTACCTAGACTAATTAAATAGTGTTTCCAATTGCGAGCAAGCTTAAGTTGAATACAATGGTTGCTCAAAAAGAGACCCAGGTCAAACAGGATATAAGGGACTTTTGTGAGATGAAACAGGCACTTGGCTATGAGATAGGTCATTGCACAAGTTTGGAGGCAGAGATATGGGCAGTATACAGAGGACTCACCATACTCTTCCAAAGAGGTGTTACAAATGTGGAAATTGAAACTAATTCAGAACAAGCCATCCATCAAATTCAATATGGCCCAAGCCAAAACTCACCCTTTAAGGCTCTCATTGAAGATGCAGAGTTTCTTCTGAAAAGGTGTAATTGTTCACTGTGTCACACATTGAGAGAGGAAGACAAGGTAGTTGATATGTTAGCTAATATAGGAATAACCCAGAATGATCCTTGAAGATCCCCCAACTGAAGTTACAATTCTACTCATAGATAATATGATTGGAGTTAGTGTAGTGGGGGACTAACCCTCTGGTATGTTGTTTTGGCTTCTTGAACTGTTGTTTGCTTTGATTTCCTTTGAATCAAAAAAAGAAAAAAAGAGAAATATCAATGTGTGAGTCCATTGGGTTGAGATGAGTCAACCCACATAAACGGGTTGAATAAAGAAGAAGGCCGTACAGCCCAAAAATTAATTTAAACGGGTGAAAAATGTTAGCCCAAATCCTTAAGCACAAGGGTTGGATTTGAGTGGCTTGTCCAATTTGGGCCCAAATTCATTGACCGGCCCGTAGATTTGGGCCCAATAACTCTCAGTCCAATCATTGTAGGATTGCCACGTGTCCATCTACAAAGATTTCCTGCGTCTTCATACCAGACAAAGTCACACACACACACAGTGTCCAGAGTCTCCGTTTGACTGTTTCTCTCTCTCTCTCTCCGTCTACACATCCCCAATCTCCCGGTGTTTACATCATGATTCGATATTTTTTCAGGTACTCTTGTTCTTTTTCCTAATACATGTACCTATTATTCGATTATTTGCTGTTGATGGAAACCCTAGTTGATCGTGCTCGTACATTGAATGTGATGATCTTCTTGTTAAATGCTTTGAGCTTGTAGTTGTGAAGCATTAATTTGTTCAAACCATAGCATAATTAATTTCAATTGGAAACCCTAATTATGTGGTTAGTGGTGAATTCTCTACCCTAGGATTTTTCCCCAATTTAGTAAATCCAATTTCATTTATTATTGATAATTTAATTCCTTAGTTTAATTTATTTGTTATTAAATTAGGTTATGATCATTCAATCTTTTTATCAAAATTAATTTAGGAATTTAACAATTAAATTAGTTTAATTTCACAATAGTCCCTGTGGATCGATACCTGGACTTGCCATTATTCTGATAGAATTTGGTATAGTTTAGTAATTAATTTTGGTGTGTTCAACGACCCATCAATCCCCTAACTGAAGTTACAATTCTACTTATAGATAATATGATTGGAGTTAGTGTAGTGAGGGACTAACCCTCTAGTATGTTGTTTTGGCTTCTTGAACTCTTGTTTGCTTTGATTTCCTTTGAATCAAAGAAAGAAAAAAAGAGAAATATCATTAAGGGGTTGTTTGGGATGACCTAAATAAGTGCACTTTTTGTCTTTTTACGAAAAGATGTGCATAAAAGTAGAGAGATGATGTGATGAAAAAAAGATAAAAAGATAAAAAGTGTGTACTTATTTTGGGTTGCCAAACTTAGCCTAAATATGTGAGTCCACTGGGTTGAGACGAGTCAACCCACATAAACGGGTTGAATAAAGAAGAAGGCCCTACAACCCAAAAATTAATTTAAACGGGTGAAAAATGTTAGCCCAAATCCTTAAGGACAAGGGTTGGATTTGAGTGGCTTGTCCAATTGGGGCCCAAATTCATTGACCGGCCCGTAGATTTGGGCCCAATAACTCTCAGTCCAATCATTGTAGGATTGCCACGTGTCCCTCTACAAAGATTTCCCGCGTCTTCATACCAGACAAAGTCACACACACAGAGTGTCCAGAGTCTACGTTTGACTGTTTCTCTCTCTCTCTCTCTCTCTCTCTCTCTCTACACATCCCCAATCTCCCGGTGTTTACATCATGATTCGATATTTTTTCAGGTACTCTTCTTCTTCTTCCTAATACATGTACCTATTATTCGATTATTTGCTGTTGATGAAAACCCTAGTTGATTAATTTCGATAAAGTTATGGCTTTTGTGTAGTTATTGCAATATACTATTGTATACACTGGGAAACACAAGAAGCTGAAATGTGTAGTTATGGTTTTTTGCTTGAGGTTCACCAAGTGTTTGTGTATATACCCCATAGAGCAAAACAAATTTCAACATTGCCTCACTTCATATACCTTCATCCTAGTGTGCCTCCAGAATTTTTTGTAGATGGCGTCAAGCAAAAACTTAAACTCTAATTCTCCAATAAAAAATAAATAAATGAAAGTCAGAAGGCATTGATGTTATTGTTTTTCATGATATACACATATATATATATATATATGTATGCTTTGTAATTGCCTCGCATTATAACGTCATTATCAATACAAAATCATCTAAAAAAAGTGTTTGTTCGATTGTGCAAATGCATCATAAACCCAACATTAATTCAATAAAAAAAAAATGAAAAAAAAAACTCAAAAAAAAAAAAAAAAAAACCCACCACCAATTTGAACAAACTAAGAAGTAGTGGATTTTCTCTTCAAATTGTTTTACATAATTGCAATTATATAAACTAGTGGTTGGCAAATATAGAAAATATGATAGAGGGTCATGCTAACAACCACCGATTGGGCGTTGGTTAAGAGCTAAATAATGTCAAAAAAAGTTTCCAATACACATTCTCATACATTTTTATATAGTTATATACACTTTTTACACAAATATTAACATTAGGTGGTTATCATTTCCCTATTATACTTGCACAATGACAATCATACTTGACTTGTATCTCTCAAACCCCCTTTGTGACAGGCTAAAAGACAAAAGGAGTCTGAAATGTTTAAAATGGAGTTTGAATATCATTACTCTATAATTTTATGTGGAATTATAAAAATTTGTATGGGGGAGAGAGTGGAAGACTTGTTGAGTACAATCTGTTGGCTGGCAATTGATGTTAAACCTGTATTTTTTATTTTTTGGTTTTGCATAGGCAGTTGGGGGCCTTGGGGCAGTTCATCAAAGTACACAATCCCTGTTCAGTGGTCAACCTCTGAAACTGCATCATTCATGTTGGGCCTCAAGGAAAAGAAATTATCGAATTCCTACACTTGGTATAATGATGGTTAAACCTACAATTCAGTTCATTCAAGGAACCGACAAACAAACAATTCTAGATGTGAGGCAATGTTGGCAATATCACTGGCTTTTGACTCCCCCAGATTTGATCAACCTCTGTTTTTGACTCGTCCAGCAAAGTTGGTGATATCACTGGCTTCTACATGATTGACGAGGATGGGGCTCTTCAGTCAGTTGATGTAAGTGCCAAGTTTGTCAATGTTTCTGAAATGACTGAAGCAAAGTACATAACGCGAAGTCCAATAGCGTGGGATAGATTGATGAGATTCATGAAGAGATATGCTAATTAGAATGGATTGTAGTTCATCAAAAAATGTGGCAATGTATATCCTATTTCCCTTCCTTTCTTTCATTTTCATCTACTGTAACTGGATCAAGTGAAAATTCAAATTTTGAAGTAACTTGTAGTCCTTGTAGACTTGATGATGCATACTATATGTTCCCTCATTTAACAGATTGCCTTCATGGTTTCATGGGCTTGTTTCTTTTGCATGTTATCACGTGTTGTCTCTAAAAAAGGAAAAACAACATGATCAATAAATGTAGCTTGTCTAACATGATACGCATTAAACAGCCGCATTGATTTCATCTTCTGAAATATCTTTTCTTATTGTTAGTTCTCTTGCATATCTGCATGTGTATATTTTCGGTAGAGAATTTTTGCATGTGATACTTTTGCAAACTGATCTGTAGTTTTCTTGATACCACGGCTGTTAAGTTTAATTGAAGCTTGTTGAAGTCAATGCTCATACTTGGGCAGATTGATGTTTTGCTTTGGCTTCATTTCTGTGAATATTATTTGTTCATCTCTGAAAAATCGTGATAAGTGGACAGAAAGAATGATAGTGAGAATTTATGCTGACCTGCTTATTTAGAGACCCCTTTTGCCTTAAAGAAACATTTATCAGAATTCTTCAATTATATTAAATTCTTCTGTCTTTATTGAATGATAAAATTGTGCCCTAGTTTCCTCTTCTAGAATTCAAAATACAAAATGATCATCAGATCTTCATTGGTCTCAACCTTCCAAGTCAAAAACCAGAAGGTATTATAAGCTGACATTACTACTGCTATTATTGCAGCCACCATAATTACTGCTGTTGCTTCTGAGATGCCCATGTCACTGAAATAGGGCTTCTAACCCTGGAAAGACCTTTGTCAGAGTGCACCCATATCAAATGCCCTTGAGCAGAGCTCATATTTTGTGTTGTTATTTTCTTCCTTGAAATAATCCAAACTCTGTAACTCAAGTTCTGGTTCGTATGTTTGAATATTAGTCTTTGCGGTTTAACTCTTACTTTGACTCCTTCAGGTTCCACTACTTCCACTGAGTAAATGGAATTAGGACTCCCTACATTTGTCAATTGCCTTTTAATCACCTTACTCATCTTCCCGTGCTTGAAAATTACTGAAATCGAGGGATAATTGAGGCTAAAACCCCTGTTCTCCAGCAAAGTCTCATGGCAACTCACATTCCTGTGAGTAATTGCAAAAATTTCTGATTTTGTGTATCCCAGGGTGCACAGATGAGTGATATAGTCATCTGGCCTGATATCATATACCAGTCCTGGATTGATGGCTCTCTCGGGGTTTACATGTCCAGCTCCAGTTGCAAAAACTCCTGCAGGTTTGTCTCCATCCATTATTGGCCTTCCTGAATGGTCTGTGATTTCCGCTGTTGTCATGATTGCAGATTTAATAGCTGCCGGGGTCCATGTTGGATGAGCTGAGTGGATCAGAGCAGCAATTCCACCGACATGTGGACAAGCCATGGAAGTCCCCGACATGACAGTGAAGTTCACTCGTCTAGAATCTTCTGGAAGAGCACTGGGGCCCAAGTTTTGAGGCCAGGCAGCGATGATGTTCACCCCAGGAGCAATCACATCTGGTTTGAGGATCGAAGGGTTGGTGAAACTCGGTCCTCTTGACGAAAACTGAGCTACTGCTGGTGCTCTTGATCTCCCAATGACAGTTCCTCCAAAAATAATTCTTGCTCTCGGTCTCCTAGTAGAGTTCATATAACTCTTTAGCTCGATTGATTCATTGAAGCCAATCAAAGTTGCTGGAAGTACATGGGCATCAACAGAGTCTTCCTCCAAATTTAGTGCTGTGTTCGTTAAGATCATTGCAGCACCTCCAGCGTCTTTCACAACCTGACCTTTCTCTGCCCTGCCATTGACACCTCGATCACAAACCACCATTTTGCCATGGACTGTTGCTCTTGGAAGAGACCCTGTGAGGCAAAATTCACTTCCCCTCTCCCCACCACTTACATAAATCACCTCGAGCTCTCTCTCAGCACCTGGTATTCGATTTCCTGGGTACATGGATTCCCCATATAACAATTTTCCATTACCCAATCGAACTATGGCGGGAAATCTTCTGTCTAGTGTGCTAGCACCGATGGTAGCAATCCAAGGAGCTTCGTTGGCCACTGAGTTTTCGATTGGGCCATTATTTCCAGCTGCACATACAACTGAAATTCCATGCTCCATAGCTCGAAAACTCCCAATAGCAATGCTATCTTCATAGAGCGGTAATGGGAAACCGCCTAAAGAGAGGGAGAGTATGTCAACTCCATCTCTAATTGCCACATCCATTGCTGCCAATATATCGGAGCTGTAACAGCCATTGAACCAGCAAACCTTGTAGATGGCAATGTGGGCCCCGGGTGCCATCCCTCGAGCCACTCCGGCTCCATTTCCCATCACGCTCGCCATTGAAACCGCAGCCCCGCCAGCGGTCGATGATGTGTGAGTCCCATGTCCATGAGAATCTCGAGGCGATGTGTATTCGACAACAGTGTTTGCTGACGGTGAGGATGAAGCCACATTGTGACCTTTGCTGAAGAACCTCGCGCCAATAATCTTTCTGTTACAATTGGAAGAACTAAAGTTTTGGCCTTCTTGGCAAATCCCTCTCCACTTCTTGGGAACCGGAGGCATTGCACGATCATCAAAGCTCGGGCTCTCAGGCCAAACTCCAGTGTCGAGCAACCCAATTATCGATCCTCGGCCAAATCCAGACTTAAACCAAGCACCTTGATCGGTGGGGTTTAGTCCCAAGAACTTGTAAGAGTAAGTAGTGTGTATCTCAAGCCGCCGGTCTGGTCTAATTGCTATGACATCGCATGACTTTTGCAATGAATCGAGCTCGTTTTTAGACAGGCGAGCTGCGAAGCCTTCCATGGCGGAGTGATAAGAGTAGAGAAGGCGAGAAGAAGGGTCATCTTGGGATGAAAGAGATCGTTGGAGGAGTGAGAGGTGCCAATGAAGCTTGGAGGAATGAGAAGTGGTGGTGATTCCAAGTGGGTGGAGTTGGATTATGTAGGTTTGGAGATCATGTTGGGCATTATGGAGGGAAATGAAGAAACAGAGTACAAGAGTGGAAAAGAAGAGTTGGGTTTTGGCCGCCATGGAAATGTCAGTAGGAGGGGAGTGGTGCTTGGTTTTTCAGACATGTTTCTGGCAACCGATTGGAGGGGTATTTGAAGGTGTTGGAAGACAGACAATTCAAAATTGGGTATGAGAGAGAGAAGGATTAACTCGTGAAATTGGAGGGCTCTTCATCACGAGGATCTTTTGTTGCGTGTTTGAGGAGGAGGAGCAGAGCTGAAGTATGGTGCGTATAAGGGGTGTTTTCACGGGATGTTTTGGATGGGTTTAATTCTGATTCTAGTAGTGGTTTTTGAAAACATTTTGTTTCCCAGTTTGGAGTGTGTGAATGTCTGTCCTGTACTATGAAATTGAATGTGGATTGTTCATTCATTCCAACTGCATTAACTGACACGCTCTACTTTGCCTTCTTCACACACGGGGCTCTTTGGCACCTGCAGCTTGTGGCTCCACTGCAATGACATTGCTATTTATTTCTCACCATTTGTCTCTGGCAGGACTCCCTGTAGATTTTTTTTTATTTTTTATTTTTTACAATTATTTTTTATTTATTTTTAAGGAAAACAGTACGACTATTGTATCGTGGGTTATTAATTTAAGGTCCATTTGGAAACTTGATATTGACTTTTTAGCTTATTGTGAGAAAAAAAAAAAGGTGTTCGAAATAATATTTTTGGTTAAATATTTAGTTGTGAGAAAAAAAAAAAAAAGTGATTGATTGATACATATATTGTGACATTTTAACTTTCTTAATTTTTTTACGGGTCAAACAATCCCCAAGCATATAGTATAATAGCGAAAAAAGACTGATTGAGACACATGATTTAGTGATATACAAACAGAATTTTTGTATAGAATTTTTTTTTCAATGCTATTCTTGTGATTCATTTATTTCCAATCAAAATACTCACAATTGTTCTCATAATTTCAAAAAAATGCTATTGACAATTTGACACATCATTTTGGATTTGATTTCTACATAAATTTTCAATTAGCAAATTAGCTTTCATTTATGTGTTTTAAATTGGATGATCATTGGCAATAATATTATGTGGTTAGGGGTTCAATCGCTAGGGCAATGTTTATTGTCCTCAAAATTCAAGTTTACTTGTATTCAATACATTTTTAATTATACGATTGTGTTTGAAGATTTTTGTATTGCGACATTTTCACCTCAACATTCAATTAGGGGAGTGCATTTAATAATAAAAGAAAATGAATAGTTATTTGTAAAAAATAAAAAATAAAAAAATTATTTTCAATTCAATTACACATAACAAATGAATATCTATAAATAATTTTAATTTATTTTTTCTCGTGAATGAATGTTTAGTTGTGTTTGTGACGACAGAGCCGCGCCCATGGCTGGGCTCGACCGCAGCCCGAAGATGGCCCAACCTAACCTTACCCTAAAAGGTGGGCCAAACTGGGCTGGGTCCAAAGCCATTACTCATATTTCTAAATCCACGAGGCTTTAAAAATAAAGAATGGGACAGGCCGGGTCCAATCAGTGGACTACCCAAAACTATGAACTTGGGCTTGGGCCTTAAAATTTTAAGATCGGACCAGGCCGGTTAGCTCATTGTCGAGGCTCAGGTCTATTTTGACAACTTGAACAAAAAAAAATAAAATAAATTATTCACTTATTAACTTATTTAAGTCACATCACATCTTTATTTTATTTTTTTTTCTTTTTTTTTTTATACATTTTTTCAAAAAAAATCAATAAAATAAAATAAAATTTACTTCTCTAACGGACCGAACCAATTCGCCGCATTTTGAACAGTTACGTGATGACGAACGAATAATTGCGGATTGATTTTTTTTCAATCTACCTAGTTTTGAACGGATGACAGATTTGAAATTCTTTTAGCCGCAATTGAACCGCCAAACCGCAAGCACCCTCAGTAATTTGTAAGATTATGTGTTTTTAATTTGTTTAGATATTCTGTTTGTATTTTTAATTTGTTTTTAATTTGAAAACCCTTTTATCAAATGATAAGTGTTAATATTTAATATTTTTGTGTAAAAAATATAAAACTTAATTTTGTCATTTTTTAAAAATCAAATTAAATAATTTTTGAATAAAAAAAGTAATGAAATAATTTTAATAATGCATAGTTTTCTTATCTATATTTATTATTGGTATTTAACAATTTACTTGATAATTTTTTTGTTATGTTGAGTTTGATTATTATCCAAAAAACAAAATGTTGACAAATTTTTATATTATGTTCAAAATTTGTAAAAATTTAAACCGCTAGACAGATTCACATCTATCCGTCAATTCGACGGACGAATGCAGACTGAAGGTTTCTCAGGCGCAACTGAACCAGAAACACCACTAAGAAAGGGAATAATAAACTTGTCTCCAAACAAAAGAGGTGAGCAATGAAGGAATTAAAAAAAAGGCAGAGGTAACTGGACCCGTTGGCACTTTAAACTTGAGTCAAATTTAGTTGAAGAAAACACCTGTTTTTTTATTAAAAAACAAAAATTACAGAAACAGTGCCGTTTAAAGCGCAACAGACTCCGTTTCCAGAGAAGTGAGTTAAAATTAAGGGAGACAGCATTTCCAGCTAATAATAATAATAATAATAATAATGTGTTTTCGTAACGAATGTGCAAGTCCCCGACAAAAGTAGAGCTCACCCTCAACCCATAATAATAATAATAATAATAATGTGTTTTCGTAACGAATGTGCAAGTCCCCGACAAAAGTAGAGCTTACCCTCAACCCAACATTAACTAGATTCCCTCAATCTTAATATATATACACATATATTCAACCAGCTCCGATTTTTTTACTGCTTTCTTGGAGAAAGGTCTCTTTCTCTCTGTGTGCCTGCCTGAACCTAATTAGATTTTCCCTCACTGCTAATATATTCAGCAGGCCCCCATCATTTTACTCTCTTGGTGTGTGAATTACAAAAAAAAGAATGGATATCCTAGGGGTATCTAGAGGCAAGTCAAGCAAGGATCCAAGGAATAACAGGGGAAGGAACCAATAGTTATCAAACAAAACCTTTTTCACCTCCCTTTATTATTAATCAATCAACGCAATTATTACTCCTACAAAAGAAAGAAAGAAAGAATGAAAAACTCACATGGTCACTGCAAACTCATCTGGATTTATTATATCCCCAGCTTCTCTTGATCTCAAAGTAGAGCCCATCATTTTCACTTTCAACTCATTCCCTTTTTCCATGGAAACTAGTAGTTGCTCTCACGTGCGTGCTTTCTTTTCTAATTCTAACACAAAAATGACTTGGCTACCAAGCTTGTCTTCTCTACATGTGAGTGACGTTCCAAAAATAGTTATTTTAATGGCAGAAACTGAATAAATAACAAATGATGATGATGGGGGTTTAAGTCCATAACAAAAGAGAGGACAAAATTCACAGAATCAGCGGCACCAATTATTTCTAGTTTGGGGATGGTAGGAAACAACTGATTCCTAATTCCTAAAAGTAATATACAACCAACAATGGTGACACAGGTAACACGCCCTATCAGGTAATTTAGTATACCACATTACTATTTCAGTAGTAGAATTCCTATAAAGATAATATATATATATATAGAATATGTCGAACTAAATCTTGTAGACCCACTAAAGTAACTTCACTTCCAATAGTCCTGATTGGAAAATACTGAAGTTTTGTCATAATATATAGAGAACATCTAATTGTAGAGCTAAGAGCTCTTTTAACTTAAATCAGTTTCATTTTATCCCATGTTAACTATCAATCGTCAGCTGCCTCACTTTTATACAAATTATACGACCACTAACAGGACATATGGTCGAAAAGGATGAATAATCCTTGCAAGTTGCAAAAAAGGATACCACAGTTTGATGGGCTCCCTACACCAAAACTTCAAATAGACATTCAGGACATATGGTCGAAAAGGATGAATAATCCTTGCAAGTTGCAAAAAAGGATACCACAGTTTGATGGGCTCCCTACACCAAAACTTCAAATAGACATTCACGTATATTAGAAGCAAAACATGAAGAGACCAAGTTTCAAACAGGTGTAAATACCTGTAAACAATTATAAATGGCTGGCTTAAGGCATAACTTTAACTACCCTTCAAAAGCATTGCCCTCAGGACCCATGTAACCACAACACACAACGTGTGCGCGTGCACATGCTCACACTCACACACACTGCTACACCTAGTTCAATAGGTCAAGTACCAAAACAGATAGTATGAAACACTTTCCACAAGAGGAAATTTAAAAACAAAAAGGCTTACAGATGGATGAAAATATCATTATTAAACACAGTACAAGGAATCACTACAAAAAATTCAAAATGAGACTTTTAAACAAGTAAAAAAAAATTTTCAAAACAAAGATCAAACATCTATTTATACTTGTAGCAGAAAATACATATATTTGTATGCTTAGCATTTAGACTAAGATTGTGTTGACACAAACTAGATTTAACTCTGAAATGATTTCCCAACAAGGGCCCTGATAAGAGCTCATACCTGCATTCCAAATCTAACTACTGGTGTAGCATCCAGTTTAAGCTCCAGATTGTATTCACTGGGTGTATGAAATTTGGTCAACAAAATTAATGTGGCCAACTCATGAGTGTCCTCTTTGTTCAATCTTCCAAGAATTTTTTGCTGCTTCTGCTGATGCATCATTGGAATCCACATTACCACCTTTTGGTTTTGAGAAAAAAGGATCCCATTCATGAGGACCAATGTATTGTCCTTCCTCTAACAAAGCATATTTCCAACTGAGCTCCTCAATAAAATCATCATTTGTACGACCATCAATAATGTCTCTCCTTAACCTTGTAACTTTGTCAATAACTGCCTGCACAGCTACATCAAAGGCATCTCTAAGAGTCTCCAATTTAGAGCGAGGATCTGCATATATCAGCCTTGGGATAAGACTTATAACCTCCTCCCTCATTTGCTTTACCTGATCAGGAGAAAATTGACTCAGCCTTTCCTCTATGCTAACATTCCCCTTTCGAATACTGTCCTCCGGAATTAATACCGAATACTGAGAATAATTCTTTGGAAGATGCCAAGTATATTGTGTGTATGCAGAACCGGGATGGAAGAAGACAGGTATACAACCTGCTAATATTGAATCAAAAGCAGATCTCCGCGTGTATGAATCACCTTGAGGCTGTAAGCAGAAAAGGGAGCTCTGAAACATCTTCATTATGCTGCTTGGAGAATGGCACTTGCTCTCCCCAAAATCGCATTCCAACAGTTTGCAGACCTGCGAGTTCTTGCACTGATCAATGATCTGTCCCCGAATTGATTTGGGGTTGCCAGGACGTGGGGCACCAGCAAACGAGAAAAGCCACTTCCGCTCCAATTTCCTCATCCTGCCCTGCCAAGTGAACACATCAGCGTCCTTTGCTGGATGAAAGTAAGTGGGATATGGGATGGCGAAATCATTTGCATTCCACGGGCTAGATTCTACCACCAGTGTGGACATATTCTTTGCAGCGGGTAAGAAGAGAAGTTTGTTACCCCAGTCTGAATTTACATCACTCAGTCTTCTAAAATCCCAAGTAATCCTTCCTGCAACAAGAAAATGATCTTTTCCTCCCATAATACTCCACTCCGGCCTCTTCTCTAGCCAATCCATCAAAGCAAGAGAAGCAGCATCCCTCATTGATACGTTATGCCCCCAAAGAAACCGTGCGATATCGAAACCGGCATAAAAAGGTACAAAAAAAGCAGCGGCAAGAGAAGACTCATTTGTCAAGCACTCATACTGCTTCATTCGGTTACTAAAGACCACATCGACAGCAAACTGATTTGTTGCATACCATCCACTATCTGAGAACACTCCTTCAACATTCTCGAGCGGGGGGCCCAACCCGGCATTTGTAGTGAACTTGCACATGTTTGTCCAAAGACTGAGACTCCTACACTCCTTAAGCATATCTTCATTAAACCTTGGAGGAAGGTCATGCACGTATATATACCTCCCACCACACGGATCGCTCTTGTTCTCCTTGGTTCTTAATGCCCTCATAAATGGGAAGTTCTGTGACTTTGGTTGGGTAGTAGTTGCTGGATGACTAACAGGGGTTCGTTGGGCACTACTCGAATGACTAATGGAAGATGGTTGAGCATTGCTCGGGCGACTAATAGGAGATGATTGGCCATTGCTAGGCCGAGTGACAGGTGTTGGTTGGGCATCGTTCGGATGACTAATGGGTGTTGATTGGGGATTTCTAAGGCTGGCACTGACCGATGGGGTATTGAGTGACTCAGAAATAACAGAAATGGAATTCAACTGTGCTAGATCACTAACTGTACTGCCTCCTAGGACAACGAAATGGAAGTACAATAACAAGAACCAGAAGAAAGCTGACAACAACGCCAACAAACAAAGCCGGGACTGTTGATTCTTTCCAGTACCCTTCTCCATATGATCAACAGGAGAGCTCGTCGGCGAGCGACGTCTCATCAGATTTCAAACAAACAACCAAATACCCTCACCTCAATAACAACATCATGCAAACAAAAACCCCCAATCCCTATATTCAAAACTTCAAGACACACCAAAAACCCAAACCCTAAATTCGATTCTGGTTCTGGAACTCAACAATTAAGGCTAAAAACTATTGATTTATCAGAACAGCTCATCATCCGGATTTCTTATGAATCGAACAGCGAACAAATAATAATAAGAAATTAAAAAAAAAAACTGAATCGAATCTGAATATAAGAGATCCGTATGAGATGAAAATGAACTAGCACGAATCACGAGAAAAATCAACTGAATTTAGTTCGATCTGCTGCTGATTTTGAGCAGGGAAAATCGGAGCAGATCGAACTCAAACGAGTAGAACTAAAATTTAACTGCAAAACCGAACAAAGATTGGTCGATGAAATGAGTACTTACCTATACACGTAGAGTTGTAGAGAGATTTTTGAAGTGATTGACTGATTGCATTCACTGTTAGATATAGAGAGCGAGAGAGAGAGAGAGAGAGAGAGGGTGTGGAGAAGGTGACAAAGGAGGCGTATATAAACGGGACGTGAAAAAGGACGCGTAAGTTAGAATGGTGCGCTGGGGGTGGGATGTTCTTGTGTCGGTGACCGCTGGATTTGGTGCCACGTGGGACCCTGATGACGTCAGTTTCCTGAAATCACGTAGTCTGATTTGAGGGCTTTTTTGGAAGTGGAGTTCTGGGTTGCGTACGTGGAGTAATTGCATTGGCTGAGACGTCGTGAAAGATGGAGATAGATCTGCATCTCTGGCTCATCTTGGCCGTCCATAAAACTTCGAATCCAATTCTTTAAAAAAACAACAATGATTCATCCCACTAAAAATATCACCACTAATAGCACTAATACATTAAAAAAGTAAAAAAAAAAAAAAATACAACTCCAAGACCAAAATATCACATCATTAATGGCGGGACCCACTGCCACCTAATTAGTGGGAGCACTAATTAGTGCTTCCAAGCATTTTTCTTAAAAAAAATCATGTGAAATCGATTTTGCTATGTGAAATTATCATTAATAAAAAATGTTGGAAATTTTGAAAAATTTATTAAATTTTTTACTAAATATATTACATGAGTGAGATTTACATTAGACTCATGTGGTGTAAGATATTTGGTAAAAATTTTAATAGAAATATTACTTATCATTAATAGCTAAATAAATTTTATTAAAATTTCTATCAAATGTATCACATGAGTGTAGGATATACATGAGACTCGCATGGTGTGAGTTTCACACTCATGTGAGATATTTGATAGAAACATTACACATCATTAATAGTTGAATAAATTTTATTAAAATTTCTACTAAATGTATTATATAAGTGTGAGATACACATAAGACTCACATGGTGTATGTTTCACACTCATGTGAAACATTTGGTAGAAACATTACTCATCATTAATAGTTGAATAAATTTTATTAAATTTCTATCAAATGTATTGCATGAGTGTGTGATCTACATGAGACTTACATGATGTGAGTTTCACACTCATGTGAGACATTTGGTAGAAACATTACTTATCATTAATAGTTGAATAAGTTTTATTAAAATTTTTACTAAATGTATCATATGAGTGTGGGATACACATAAGACTCACATGGTGTGGGTTTCACACTCATGTAAAGCATTTGGTAGAAATTTTGGTAGAAACATTACTCATCATTAATAGTTGAATAAATTTCTATCAAATGTATCACATGAGTGTGGGATCAACATGAAACTTACATGATTTGAGTTTCACACTCATGTGAGACATTTTGTAAAAATTTTGATAGAAACATTACTTATCATTAATAGTTGAATAAATTTTATTAAAATTTCTATCAAATGTATTGTATGAGTGTGGGGATCCATATGAAACTCACATAGTGTGAGTTTCACATTAATGTGAGACATTTGGTAGAAACCTTACTCATCATTAATAGTTGAATAAATTACATTAAGGCCTATTTTGGAAGTTCAAATTTTAGTTAAAATAGTGAAAAAAAAATTATTTTTTTGACTCTTTTTTTTTTTTTACATATTTTTAATAAAAAATTATTTAAGAAATTAATTCTCAAAACAATCCCAAGTCATAAATAAAAAAAATAAATGCAACATATGAATTTAAAATGAATTGATTTGATATAACACATTTAAAGAATATAAATATTTTAGTTATGAATTTTAGATATGAATTTGACAGTTTTAGATTAATAAAATTAAAATAACTGAATAAACATAATTAATAAAATGCATATTTCTTACTCTGACTTTAAATGAGCCCCCGCTAGTGGACGGTGGGATTGGTCCTCCAGGGATTAGTCGAGGTGCGCACAAACTGGCACGGACACCTAGAGTTATATAAAAAAAAAATGCATATTTCTTATATCTATGCATAATTTACTTTGGCATTATCAATCTATATGTATTAATTAACCTTCTTACAATTTTATAAAATTAAACATCAAATCTTTTATATTGAAATATATGAATCAAACAAATATATCATTTCTTTTATATTAAATTTTATATTTTATTTATACTTATTTTTATGTTTACCAATCATCTTCATTAATTCCATCGCTTTAACATTACTAAAGAGCAAGTCAATGTGATTATACTAAATTTATGGGACTAAATATATTTTTTAAAACTTGAAGGATAGTCAGTATAAAGCAAAAAACATGCGTTCACAGGAGACACGTGGTATTGATAATTTTACTAATAAACTATCAATCTTAATTCTATAATCAAAACAAGTAACGAATTAAGAAACGATAAAAATATATAAATGAGAAATATAATCATCTCTAATCCTACCAATAACATATGGATTATTGGATGTAAACATGAATGAAAAGAAGTGGATGGTTGTTCCTTAAGACCATGTCAAAAGATTAGAAAGGTATTTAACGTGGATGCCACTCCACCGCACCTTCCTTGTCAATTCTCAACCCCAACAACCCCCCAAACATACCATGCATTATTGTCTAATTACTTGCACCACGTTTGCCCACCCAATTGGAGAAGAAGGAAGGCAAGCTTCAAAATTCTTTTACCATTTGGTTTAGTTTAGATGATTAGGTGTTTCATTACAAGTGTATAACTGTCCTAGTATGTATAACTCAATTTCAAGACTAACAAGACAAACTTGTGCACTATGTGTTAAAACGATGGAAAACTATGGGACGCCGGAGAAAGGATCCTTTCTTCCTCACTACCCGACATCTGTGGGACTCCGAAGAAAAATGACCACAGAAATCATATGTCCCCAGACAGAGATCCATCTCTTTCCAAACACAACACCATGGATGTTGCCATTATTGCTTTAAAATGAATCAAAATATGCATGCTCAACTCATTTGACTCGTTATTATAAACAAAGTTTTAATATAAATTAAAAATATACTCATAAACTTATCTTAGACAAAATCCAAGGTATTAAATAGCAGTTAGACTGAAGCTCATTTGAGTCTAATTGAAAAGATGAAACTTCAATACATTTTAAAACCCATCGGCTCATTACAATATGGAAATGCAGATTGAAGTGTCGCACTCAACAAAAATCGTTCTACGATAATTGTGGGTAACAAAATAGGATGCCCGTCAAAAGAGAAATCCAAAATTTTAAAGGAAAATGATAATTGTGAGCAACAAAATAGGATAATTCGGCCTGACCTTTGAATCTGTTTTGGCAATTGGCTTGATAAGATCTGAATCTACAGATCTAATGCTAAAACAACGATCGCAACAAGAAAATAGCAATGGCCACTAATAGAAGCATCCCATAAAACCCAAGGTTAGAACTCTTCTTTTTTGGCTCCAGAAATGCCTTACCCAGCTTCACATCACTCAGAGACAAGCACACACCGGGGTCTCCCATTTTTACCTCACTACCAACCAGAACCGAGTTGTTCACCCCCTGAATATTGTTGTTTATGTAAATGTTTATATTACAACAATTGGGTGACTCACCAGAAGTGCCACGGCGGTTGATCATTGCTGCACCAACATTCTTTCCTTCTAGATTGACACGTTCAAAAGATCCATAGCCGCTTTGTCCGGACATGAGATGACTGATTAATTTCAATAGATTGATAGTTGCAGCTTCTTCCTCTTGTTGGCATCCCCAGAAGTTTTTCATTGTGGACTTTCCCACTTCGCACAGCTTGATTCTTTGAATACTCCATCAGTAATGTGTACTTTTCTTTAACTACAAGCAAAGTAAAATTCCTTTGGAATGACTTAATCAACACTCTTCTCCATCATAATCCAGGGTTGGCTACAAAAGCCATAGGTCTGCCTCAAAATCCAACTGGAAGGAATCACTGTAGAACCTACCCATCAAACAAACATATGGGTAGTCCACTCGGTCAAGAAAAAATAAGTAAATAAAAAGCGCAAACAGATGGGTACTCCATTCCAAACCATGCATAAATACAAATTTTGTTCCTTCACTTGTATTAAAACCAAGGCTAGACAAGCAGGCCAAATACTGCCCTTTAGTAGAACAAGAAGTGATCAGAGTATTCTCAAAATTGTACAATGCAATCATTGAAGGACCCTCCTTTATTCATTACATGTCAACAAAAACCACTCTCTGGAAACCTATGGTTAAAAGACTCGCTCATCAATCAATATGGAAATTTTTCCAAAAAAAAAATAAATCAATATGGAAATTAAGGTTGCCGTTATCATATAAATTAATCACAGATCTAAGAAATTAATTAACAGCATTTTTAAGATAACAAAATATTTTCTCAGAAATCATGAATATATCGAAGCAGAAGCTTTGCAATAGCAATTATTTTTGTATAAAGAAATTGAGGTATACATTTGAAGGTGTCAAAATTGGAAAAACACGTTCAAAATTAAAGAACCGAAGACTTTGATGGCCATGCAGCTGGAGATACTTTTTTGCTGACAGTCGAGCCATATTGTGGCCCACCCTTACGGTATTGGATAAGAAACTCAACAGGATATCCCTTCAGCTTATGCGGCATAATACCGAGATCATCAAAAGTTAAGGCTGCAAAACCCACTAGAGAAATCAGAGGTGTAAATGCCTACATACAAAAATTACAGAAATGTCATTGAAAAAAATAATGACGGAGTTTAGAGCTTGAAATTTATCGCACAAACCATCTGGTGACACAACTGTATCTTGAGTAAGGGCATTCATTTCATCTAAATTCAATATGGTAGGAGTGGGCAGCGGAAAGGGAACTTTATTGAGAAACATCTCCCGAGGCATTGCAATCGCCTGAAATCAGTAAGACCAACATGAAATAAATAGAAAATTAAAAAATCAACACTTAAAGTTAGTCACCTGAAGCCTGTACCAACACTCATATGACCACGGAGAGAAAGATGAAACCACCTAAAACAAAAGTAGACTTTGCTGATGAACAATACCATAACACACTTACTAGAGAAAACACTTTTCAGTACGTACACATGCACAAAGACGCGTATGCATGCAACTATTAGGAATGCTTTTTTTTTTTTTACTGGCACTGCAGGAAAGTGACTTGGGCGGACCCCAACCTTTGGGGAACAGATCATCCTTTGAAAACTTAAAGCAAATAGGACAATATTTGATATATATATGTGTGTGTGTATGTGTGTGTGCGCGCGCGCACGTGTGTGTATTAATTAAGTATACGTAATAAGGAAAAAATTGAGGTGGCTTTCAGTTTGTAAAGCAATAAAAGATCCTCCAAAGTGCTAATAAAAAGCACATCAGTTTCTGACGAGTTACTTTGCATATAAAGGAAAAGGATGTTGAGTTGAATACTGCATCTGATGTCAGGATTGACTTGTCACGAACCTGATAAATAGAAAGAAATGTAATTGCAGCAGTTTTGGGCTGAACAATGGAGCCCATAAATGCACTGCGAGTACCAAACATCTCATCTTCAAGTTCTGTTATACTTACACATGTTCATATCTTAGGTACATTATTTTTTTTTCCTATTTAACAATAACATAAAATGAAAATTTTGCCAAATTATATGTTCACATAAGAAATATCTATACATTTGATTTAATAGAAAAAAACCCAGGATACAACCTTCTTGAAAAAAAATCCTTAATTTTGCAATCCTACGTAGGGGACTTCACAAGAAACCTATGAGTTGATAGAAGAAATTATCCTCAAATCACAGATAGGCTAAACAAATTTCCTTACAATTTCCAAATAACTGAGAACATAAGAATGAGTTTGTGTTATTTAACAAAAAAAAAAAACATATGACTGAGTTGTAGAGTCGAGTGACAATGACGAAAACAACGTAAGTTCATAGAGACCAACACATAATTCATATAGGTTATGTTTGTTTGGGTGGACATGAGCATGGGATTGGACTAATAATCCAATAAAATTATTAATCCGATGTTTGGTTAAACAATTGAAGTACGGATTAATTATTTTAAACTTGACTATTAGTTAAGATAGGATACATAATCCAACGGATACATAATCCTAGGACTATTAGTCATGGGATTACTAATCCAGTCCGCCCAAACAAACATGGCCATAGTGTCTGATTACTCCCTACCTTAGCAATGGGAAAAGGAACTTTCACATAGCGAGGCCATTCACGAATCATGTCATACATAAGTTCTGCCTGCAGCACCCTTGAAAATCGTTAAAATCCACTCCACCTGACAACTTTGGTGCGAAAACGAAAAGATTAGGAGATAGGCAGAGAAATTACCAGTTCATGCACAGTGAAGACTTCTGGTCCACCAAGTTCAAACACTTTCCCCATGCTGGTGCAATCGTCATTTAAGGCCGTAACAATTGCAGCTGCGACATCAACAACATATACAGGTTGAATACGGCAATACAATCCCTTCAGAAAAATATCCACAAGATTTGGACAGAGCTGAAGTTTCCTATTATCCCATATCACATTTATATTTCAACGAATTTTCAGTTAATAGATTTGAAGAGATACTTGGTGGATCCATCCCCAATGAGTGGAAGGAAGCCGTAGTTTTTTGCAAACTGCGCCCACCGATTTAGGATCCTATCTTCTGTACCAATCATTACTGCAGGTCTCAATATTGTGGCCTGAAGGCAGAACTATATCAGTAAGTCTCCTCTGAAAAGAAGGCAATAACATTAAAAAATGGAAAGGTGTAAAATAGAGATATTGAACCCTGCATCATTTCAAATAAAATAAAACCATTGCAGTTAACATGAGCACTTTATAGGGATATATTATCGAGTGACAACATGAAACCATAAAGAAACTTCACCCTCAATGTGATAGCATTTCCCTATTCTATATCATGTAAGAGTAAGTTCTCAATCAGTATATCACCCATATCCCAAAGACAATTTGGATGAGGTTCCAAAGATCAACACAAACAAGGTCTAACTTACCTTTTTCTTTAAAAAAAAAAAAACAGGTGGTGTTCACTATTAAAGCAGAAATCTTATTTCTGCTCCAAGTTCATTGGGAAGCAATGGTTTGGACTTTGAAAATCCAAAAACATTTGATTGTGGACATTTTAAAGTTTGTGGTTGGTTGGAGTTGGACTAGACTTGATCTGTTGGTTCCTTCTTGCCTTGTTTCTGAACTGCAACAATATTTGGTTTACAAGCTTCATAAAAAGATTCCTAGATCCACAAATTAGAAACCTGATTCTACTTCATGGTTCTTCTTTATTTTTAACACAATCTGTATCGTTTCCTATCTCAAAAGAAAAAATAACAATATATATTATAATTCTTTTTCTCCCGGAGTTGCAAAATGCATGAATTAGTACCTCTTCAAATTATACAAATATGCAAGGCCACAAAAAAATAAACATGTGCTGTGTGCAACCTTGGCCATTTGACAACATTACAGACTTGTGAACAAAATTAAAGGTGAAATTCATCAAGATATTAGAACTGACAGTCTTATCTCTCAGAGTTAGGTTAAAAAGTTTGATACTCAAAATCTTACATAAAAGTTCAAGCATTGCCACATCATTAAGGCTGCATTGCCTTCTTCTTGTCTCCATAACCACTTTTCTGATATAGAGCAATGCCTCACATTTGCATAAATGGTGTCATGATCTTAGTAATGATAATGATTTTCCAACTAAAAAATCACAAGAAAGCAAGATTGAGATCAAAGGCTACATTGCACCCAGCATTAAAGAGCGTACAACTTTGGTTCATATTTGTTACCAATAAGTAAGACAACTACAAGATAAATTTTCAAAACAAAATCATCAGCTAGCCTTAAAAAAAAATAAATAAATAAAACTTTACTTACTAAAAAGACCACGGGCATAACCTCACCTCTGGTATTTCTCGCATGATAGCCTCCTCAGCAGCAGCTTTAGCTCTTAACATTCTGGATGGAGATGATGAAGAAGCACCTAAGCAAGAAACTTGTATAAATCTCATGATACCACCATGTTCCTTAGCAATCTGCAAACACAACATAATTTGAAACCTTAAATACAGCAGATGCTCCCAGGAGAGACGGTTAGTAATTTCAGTAATTATGTGATGGTATGGTACAGTGCATGTCACAAATGTTTCAGAGTTGTTACCAGGGATATTCCCTGCAAGTCATGATGGTTACGGAAATTGATCAAGATAAAAAAAGGTTCTTTGTCTTATTCAAATCTTTTTTCTCCCTTATTAATCATGTGGGCAATAAACCTTACATATTAGCCTCTTTTGTTTCAAACAACCACGTCAAATGTTAAATTTACTTCTACACGTTAATCAATTTCATATATGAGGTTGACATCTCTCCTTAGAGTCTGGCAATTTGCTCTCAAAAATAAAAATCAATTAAATATCTCCTAATTGGTTGTCAGTCTTAGCCATTTAGGCCTCAACATAGACCATAGTTCAGACTGTAATGGGTGTATTTGGCATTTTCATATTTGGCATACACAACCTATCATTGTTGTAAGGAAAATCATTTATGGGGGGAGAGAGAGAGAGAGAGAGAGAGAGAGAGAATCTACCACTGCAAGCTACTCAGCCATATATTGGTTCACTTCCTCAAAGCTATAATTGCGAGTCTCATATTCCCTTCCTACCAAAAAGGAAGTTGATAAGTAAAAAATGTTTCAATGCAACAAAAGAATATGGTATTGATAGGTCTAGTGGCAGCTTAAGATTGC